TATTATTATTATTATTATTATTATTATTATTATTATTATTATTATTAATAATAATAATAATAATAATAATAATAATAATAATAATTAGATATTTTATAAGATATATTTGTCTGCCTTCCCTTACTAAATATTATTCTAGAGAGCCTGTTTAAATAGCCAGCTCTAAATCTTAAGTGGATGGAGAGCCCTTCAAAATGTCGTCAAGCCAATACTAAATATTTGTATCTCAACGTGGTGCTCCCCGACCCTTTCCAGGCGGAATAACCTCTGTCAAGCCCCCCCTTTACGCACGGGAATGGCCTTTTGGATCTTTACGGTTTCAATGGTAACCAGCCTCAAAACGAGTGCTGAGGCCACAACACACCGTCCCCGTCTCCAAACTTTACGGACAGCTTGTCCCTCATTGAGGATACCTCTGCTGCTCCGGCGCCATCACAGACGAGCACATCTGTTGTTATAGCAACTGAATAAAAGCCGGAGTGTCTGTTGATCCTTTTTTTTTTTTTTTTTTTAGCCCGTTAACCTAATTTCTCTGCATTTCTTGTGGTTTGCATTTGCATATTTCCTAAAGGGCCTGAAAACCAGACCTCCTTTCTCACACAGACGCGTCTCTTGCAGGCTCTTTGACTCCGGCTGCATGACGCCTACTGCAAAATTCCAGCCACCAACAAAGATATATAGCAGATGTGATGAGGTTAGTTCAATCTCGGCATGACCTGCATAAATAAAAATACTTTATTCAGGGTCTGACGAGCAACAGAACGAGATATCCTTTTTCCTTTTCATATATTTAAAGCAATCGATTATTACAGAATCTTTAAAGCGAGACTAATGTTTAGGGCGAGTTTGGGCCTCCGCTTTAGTGTGTGACTCAGTACACTATAAGCCACGCGCGCATCCACCCATGGGCGTCAGCTAAAAAGCCCATGTCAAGGAAATAGTGCTTCCAATTAGAACAGAATTTCTACAGGCCGATCCAGAGATGCAAAAAAGGGGACATATAGGGCCCAAAATTGGATCACATGTGCAATCAGGATTGCCATAAAAGGAGAAACGTGACGCAAATCGACGTGTGCAAAGTCAGATTAATGGGCTTTTTAAAAAAAAAAAAAAAAAGGAAACGTATTTGTATCTTGAATTATTCTTGTAATGAGGCGTTTGGCTTCTGTATTAAATCGGTCGTGGTGGTTCAGGTAGTCCTGCTGGGCCTGGTCTCCGGCGCAGGCTGCCGGCGCACCTTTAGGCTCCGCGCGCAGCCCGCAGACTGGAACACCCAAGTAGAGCCGTCTCCATGGAGACGGCGGGACACCGGTCCAACAAGCTGTAATTCTGTCTCAGCCTTTTTGCAGGGGAGGGACCGTCCACACTAGCCCGACTTAACTCCTCTTTCACCAGAAATACTCCTAATCCCATATCTTAGCAATGCAAACTGTCGTCCCTCAGTATATTAAAGGGACCACAAAGTCAGAACTGAAAGCCACCCATGGTTTCCCAGCAGGCGGCCCATTCCGGTGGGACGCCTCGCCTGTCCCACGTCCATCCGATGCACACGTGTCCACTTTTCTCCGCATTTTCCCCCCAAAGTTAACGAAAAAGAAAGGTATTTCCCATATTTTTCATTTGGGGTAAAGCGAGGAAATAAAGACGAGGGTAATAATGAAATTCAAATACGAGGGGAATATTCTGTGACTGGATCGAATTTCTTCTCTTTGCTGCCGCGTAGTCAGCTCGATTTTGTTCGTGGCAGTACGTTTACGCACCAAAAACTTCAAGAAAGAAATTTCAAGTATAATCAAAAGGTTAAACATGAGAAAAGAAGGAAAACTACCCTATATTGGCTCATTCTTTAAAAATATTATAGCATAGAAATGCAGACAAA